ATTCTTCGGTCGGAATATTATTAGAGGTGGAATAAAATATCCAGCAGCGCGCAGTGATGCGGCAGCTGTCATTAAGTATCCCTTTCCGCCGCCGCGATTAAAGCGCCAATATGATGTTTGCTTAGAATACGATTCTTGGGATGTTTATTCTGAACCACAGTTCGATTTGTTTCATCTTCGTTAAAATCACGAGAAGGGGAGTAATGAGCTGCTGCAAGGGCTTTTTCTTTCGAATCTGGGAACCACCTCCACCACATTCTCTCTGTTGAATTCATTTGCTCTGGCAATGAACGTTTCAGTTGGTTAACGTAACGACGACTTGTGGCAGTGTCGTTTCGTAAATCGTTTGAACCAGCCTTTGCCTGCTCCCTCTTTGACGACACGAATTTGGGGTCGTATTTTGGTTGGCTGATTGAACGGCTAGTCTTCTAACATCTTCATGGCGCATTCTTCGTTAATAACGGATATTCGACAAAATTCTCTTCAAGAGCGGAAGCAAAAATCTGCATGTCTCCCGTTTTTGACCGGAGTGCTTCAGAATGGACGGAGTGGCAGCCATCCTTATTTTTTGCGTACTATTGTGTTATGGGATCAAGTAATTTGTATACAGACCACCTGCCTGATCGAATTATCCGGACTGGCTCTGGGGCCCACCCAACTTCCTATCCAATGGGTAACGGGAGCTCTTTCCCCGGGGGTAAAGCGGCAGGGGCGTGAAGCTGACCACTCACCTCCAGCTAGTGCCAAGGTCAAGAAAATATGGATCTATACGTCCACACCCCCCATTCGCTTTCATGGCGTAGTGCTTAATTAGTTAAGCACAAGGACAACTTTACCTTTATTACATTATCGAAACATGTAATGGTAAAGAATAATTTGATTTTTAACGTTCTGAGCACTTTTTGTGTAGACGGCCACCTAATACTTTGAGTGAGAGTTGTTTCTCGCAGCGTTTACGGGTGTAATTTACCGTACACACAATGTTCAAATTGTGTAAACGTTCTCTGGATATGCAGTTTGAAACAACACTGAGTTGCCAAATTACAGAATAATGCCGGATACTGCCCCGTGTTACTGACATGTACCTTCAAACATTTGCGGCAACATCACTTTTACATGTGAACCACTGCACATGCAAAACATGTTGCTTCAGGTAGTTAAAACCAGCCTCATTCGGACGTAGTGTACTGAACCATGGTAAACACAAACATGACTGAACCCTTTTAAATTGTTTTGAGCGACGCAGAGTTTCGCAAAACACAATAATCTGACTGTGGAATGAACGCATTTCACTTCGCCAACATGGCGGCTTCCCCCCAAGTTTTTCTCCGAGCTAGATGAACTTGGATCTTCAGTTTCCTGAAAGATTACAGCACCCGTCTTTCCTAGAATAAGCTGTACGAAACTGCCGGCCCAATCCAATAGTTCCTTCCAATATGCTCTCTTTATTTGTAATGCTGTCTGATGTGGTACATCCGTTGACATTTCGTAACATTTTCATTTCTCAGTTTAAACTATACCTGCACTTCTTTTTATATCGAAATAAAGAAAAGGTATAGCACTTTAACTACTCCCTATATGGAGTTCTTTATAAAAGACTCCATGGTGATGGGTCTTTCTTGAAAACCGATTGGTGAACAACACATCAGGACATTCCCTGCGTTTGTAGAATCCGAAGTTCCGTTACTGTACTAACTGACGCCCACCATAGCACTCTATTCTGAGGCAGATGGATTCAGTCCTTTACACACCTTAAAACGTTAGGCCTATATCTCTACGATCATTTTCAGAATCAGGTTTTTTAAATTTTCAAGACAATGAAGATGCATATTGTGTTCTGATTTATGGCACCATGCAGTCTGGTAGGTAGGTTCCAGAATTTCAGAAGAATCAGGGAAGAAGTTTCCATCCATCTTGGAGACCGCAACAATAGAATAACTGTTGGACCTATCGTTTTCTGTGCGATCTGTATCGTATGAAAGGAAAGTAAGTCGTTTAGTTCTTCCTAGAACTTTTTGTTAAACCTATTTCTCACTGCTCTTGCTTGCTACATATTCCGTGTGTCTCACCCTCTCCTCTGTGCATATTAAAAAGTTCCTCGTTTTGGAGTTCTAATCCTCTGCTTCGTTTCTGAAGGACGCCAGTTTTAATCGAATTTCGTGTTGTAATTCACGGGAAGTCGGTGGCTCTGCATCTGAACAACTCCTACGCGGGCCACCATGGTAACGGTCGGTGCTTTGAACTGAAACGCGCCATAATCCACGCTATTCATGTTGTAACGATGATTTGCGGTTTGAACATAGAGCAGTGCTTCAGTCCACGCCGTCCGATCGTTCTCAGTGCCGTCCCTTGTCACGTTTCGAAAAATGTTAATGTGACAACAAGAGAGTAACTCATCCTAAGCTATGCTACTTGATCATAGAAGCGGCTGGATGTCGCCGTATTTCAACAGACCCATCTTCGTTTGTTTATTTAATAACCCTGGAGCAACCGCATATATTTATGTGGTGTCGTCATTACTGCTGTCTCTGATAAGAATTATGATTAGAAGTTTGATTTCAGAAATAATGTATTTCCCCAAATATAGTATGTACATACTTCTGTAGTCGGTATAGCGACTGGTTACGGGTTGGGCAGCTGAGGGGTCGGAGTTCAAGTCTGAATAGTGGCAAGATTTTTCTCCTCTCTTCCTCCCAACCTCCTATCCAATGGGTACGTAGGGCTCTTTCCCCGGGGATAAAGCGGCCGGGGCGTGAAGCTGACCACTCACCTCCAATTAGTGCCGAGGTCAAGAATACGTGGATCTATACATTCATTCCCCATACGCCTTCCTGACATAGCGCTTAATTAGTTAGGCGCGGGGACAACTCTACCTTTAGTACACACTATAGGAGTACATGCGGAGTTCGAAAAAATTAGTGAATATTTCTTACGTTTGAATTACCTAACCTTAGATGAGACAACTTGACAGGCGTTTTAAGATCATTTGATTCATTTTAAATAAGCAGCTTAGACAATCTGAAATGAATTCATTCAGGAATCTGATTGTGCTTGACACGTATTTCTAATACGGTTACATCGTTATATGTGATCAGAGAAACGTAATGCGATTCTTATGGTGTTTATTGAGACCATAACATTCAGTTGGTTCGTGATTTTCTGTAGCCCCAGTGGGCGGATTTGAAGTGTTGCTGGAATTTTTTAAGGGCGCTGTCTGTATTGGTCAAGAGGTTCCCAGAGTGGACTCTGGTGTTCTCTGAGTAGACGTCACTTGTGGCTGGCGCCGTGAGTCTGCGCAACCTGACACCCGGCCCCCAGTGTTGTATTGTTACACAGCAGCGAGATGAAGATCGCTCTTGTTTGTGTTTGCTTAGCGAGAACAAGGGCAAGTGAATGTTCAGAATTACATATCGATATCACGATATCGAGTACATGTACCAGTGAGTAGGACACGGAGCGTGAAGCTTCAAACTGGTTTATACCCTGGATTTTAGGATGGTACTCCCTTGTGTTTATTCGTGCATGCATTAAAGCAAGTGTCACGCAACTTCGAACAAGGCCAAGAGTAACCTTGAATGCGCAGAAGAAAAATTTCAGTGACAGCACAAACAACTGGCCGTCTGTCACTTCTCACACCCTCGAACCCACCCCCTTGTCTGAAAATTTTCTTCTGCGCATTCAAGGTTACTCTTGGCCCTGTTCGAAGTTACGTGACACTTGCTTTATTTTATTTGTTTTCTAATCGAATAATGGGGTTATTATAAGTTATGAATTAAAAGCTAGGAAAGGAAGGCGCGGAGTTCTATTTTAGGGTACCATTCATAGAATTTATCCGAAAGACGTGACGAGAATTGCGAGTAACATACTTCGGGCAAGGCATCTTTTTCTTGGGTAGAAATTCGAAACCAGGTCCTCCCGTCGTGTTAGTTGCTAGTTGGCAACGTTAATTTGATGGAGGACTACGTCAGACAGTCTTGTTATTTACTGCAGGATGTGTAATGGAAGTTTGCTTTGAACTCCGGGCATTGCTCTCATAACTTTTTGTATATTGCTACCCAGAGTATCCTAAAATTGTCCAGAGAAAATTGTAATTCTATTCCTCGAGATAGAATTTACAGATTAATGCAGAAATTCGCTCTGTGGGCTGTCAGCACTGCTACTTTATGCTGCAAAGACATTTTAATTTCTCGCTTCCTTTTCTCATCTTAACGAATGAAATACTTCCCTGTCCAGAGTTACCTCATATGACGGTCTCTTGCTGCATGGCTAACGTGTGGAGGGAAATTAGCCAGGGTCACTTGGATTGTGAAAGTGTTGGGTTTGGTGTAATTGATAATGAAATAACATATATCTGTGTGCAGACAGAATTGAGTATCTTGTAACATAGCTGATCAGAATGTTATTAATCTGTTACAAAAGAATTTAATAATTGAAAAACATAACTACGTATAGATAATAATATCACATGAGGCTTTAGATTTTCACTGGGGCCAGTTCGGGCTACAGATTCTTCCAGGTATTGATTTGTGCCCGATTTTCAACATCTAAAAGTTATCAGTCATACGATAAACGTTACATACTCTGCGGGTCTATACAGTTTAAGTTAAATTAACGAATCAAAGAAACGAAGCCATGTTCTCTGTAAACGAACGATAAGCACACAATTTTGCACATTTATCCTGTTAACTACTTTCAGCATTAAAATTCATAATTTATGTACGACAATTCGGATATCGGTTTTTGTTATTTCACTAAGATAGTCTTGGAATACAGAGAGGGATTATTATACACATACCGTGCTTATGTGCACCATTTCTCTCAGCCTGGTTGCATGATAATGTCCCGCAGTGACCGGCGTGCATGGCATATGTTTGCTGCACGCATGCGGCGGCCTTCGTTCGTAGGGAGTGCGCGTTTGTCTACCCGAAACTGCTGCCGAACGAAGCGAAGCGAAGCCAAGCCAAGTCAAGCCCACCGCGCTTGGCAGTTGTTTCCCGTACTTCACTATGAGAGGTTGTCACGGCGTTGTCGGTATTTGTTGTGTGTCGTAGTGGTTAGTGATGTAGAATTTAGTAGTCCGTGTCGAGCAAGGTTGTTCGTAATTTGTTTTATTATCCTTGCTACGTCACAGAATACTGTTTACATTGTGCACGTACAAGTGGATGCAGCGCATTATCTGACAGATCTAAAAGAAAATTAAGGAGTCTTTACGTGTGAATGTGGCGGACGTTTAGTCTGTTTACTTTGTATTAGAGCATCTCAGAAGACCATGTGACAAGAATTCAGAAGATCCGATGAGACTGAAGTTCCCTGGAATGTGTAAGAATACCGTTACTGCAAACACAGTGCTCTGTGCTAAATAACAGCCTTCAGTGCGTCATGTGTCAAAATGTTCCGGTACTTTAAAGTGGTTGTCATGCTGTATAAAACGCAGTTAATTGAAATCCAATATTATAGCTTAAATATTCAATTTCTGTACGGCAGTTCACGCACGCGCTTTCAGCATTCAAAGTAGCTCCTAGAAGATTCATAAATGTATAAGGAAGGATTCCGTTTCAGATCACAATTTTAGGGTTTTTTGTGTGTGTGTGTGGGGGGGGGGGTTGTGTTGCCGTACAAAAGCCGGATGATACTGTAAAGCAGCTGCTGATTAACTTTTTCATGATTCGCTTCCGTCATTAAATGTCGCATAACCTACAGGCCTTATACTTGACGTAGCATTGTAAAACAGACAAGAAGTTCTGGGAAGAACTGATGGCCTACTTTCCTTTGATACGACACGGATCTCATAGAAGACGACGTGTCCAATAATTCTTGTATTGTTTCGTGTTTATTAGTTGCGGTGGTAAGTTTTTTACGGAGCCGTTACTTAGCGACGATAGGGGAATACGCATACACACACTGTTAGGGGTTTTTAAGCGTGCAGTTGAGATGGGTTCAGGTGCCATGATATACGTATCAAGTTTCATAAAGATTGGTTTAGGCATTTAAAAGCCGATAAGGGGTCATTTACAGACACATACAGCATAGTGATCCCATAAGCCTCATAAGTCTTATTTATTTATTTTTTTCAAATTTCACTTTTCAGTTTTAGTTTATTTAACGTTCCATAGATCCACAGTACACGCAAGATATAGAACATGTCAAAATAAAGAAGTAGGCTTAAGAAACTTCCCGCTCTAGGCTTGTGCCCCCATGAAGCTTGTGTGAGTGACATCCATGATCTAGTTCCAGAAATGTACGTATATGTTTGTCATTGAACGCAGTAGATTTCACACTTGTCAGCAAGTGTTCATCTGTGACAATTCACAGAACATGAAATTGATAACGTATTGATTTCCTTGTCTATTCCAATTGTGTGATGTCGCGACATCGAGTGCACACGGGAGTAAACGTTAGTCTAATTCCACGGTAGCCGAGCGGTCTAAGGCATGTACTGTCTTCGCTCGAGATCATGGGTTCGAATCCCACACAAGGCATGGATGTTTGGTGTGTGTGTGTGTGTATGCGTTTTTTTTTTGTCCGGTGTTTGGGTAGAGGACTTGCCACGAGCTGATCACCCGTCCAAGGAGTCCCAGTATCTCTAAAGATGATCACGAAACTGAAAAATCAGGCCTATGCTCCAAAATAGCGAGAGGAAGAAGAAGAAGAAAGAAATCCCTGCAAGACTTTTCCCCATTTTTTCTTTTTCGTCCCCTCTTCATTAATGTCTTGCTTTAATAAACACATCGAGGAATTAAGCACAGAATTGCAACAAAAAAAAAAAAGTAAATTTATTTTACCTACAGCGAGAAGGGTGGGGGCGCTGTGAATAGGTTTAATGAATCCAGCTCCACGCTATCGGAATACACAATTTTATCATTTCGTTTAGTATTAGACTGTTGCCCCCATTTGGAACATAGGGCATCCGTGAAACGCTCGTTTCACCTGAGATTCTTAGTCTTAGACAGTCGGTAGGACTCTAGAACGGGGGATCAGCCCGTCACAAGGCTGCTACCTAACACAAACATAGAATAAACCACAAATATCAGTGCCTTCAATGGGATTCGAACCCACGATCCCAGTGTTCGAGAGAGCGAAGACAGTTCATGTCTTAGACCGCGCTGCTACTGTGATCGGCAATGATAGTGTGTAATTAATTCGCTTAGTTGGGGGTGGAGTCCAACTGAGTCCACTCGGCACGGCGGCCACCGATTGGTCTATTGTAGCCTGCCCCGTGTGATTATGATGATGGAGAATTTGGTGGAATGAAGACTGGCAGGAGAAACCGAAGTACTCGGAGAAAACCCGCCCCAGCGTCACTTTGTCCACCACAAATCCCACTTGACTAGACCCGGGAGCGAAACGGGGCCGCCCCGATGGGAAGCCAGCGACTAACCGCTTGAGCTATGGCGCGGCACTGATAGTGTGTAAGTATTCCCAAATTGAAAGTTTTGATTGCACTTGCTGTATGGTCTTCGTACAACACCGCTGCGAACCATTGCAATAACTCTGGTACTAAATCAAAGCAGTAACATCTGTGGGCCCTAGCCTTCCCATTGTTCTATCGCCAGACGTTAAAACACAGAGTGACTAACACCACAGTGTACTATGTAGTAGGCTTATACGCCATGCAGTGAAATGACAATGGAAGATATTTTCATATGAATGTTTCATCTCGGGTAACAGTGACCGGATTTCGATAACGGTGGGCATTGAAGGGGGTTGCCCGAAACGCTGTATGTCGAATTTAAGTTTTTGTGTGTAGACTTTATTGGAATTTATAAACCAATTAGGTTCGTGTCGCCTTTTTTATTATTTCTCTTGACCGGGGGGGGGGGCGAAAGTGTGCCGCCTTGTCGTTTCGAGAGGAGGGTTCTTTGATGTTGTCTTGTATGTGTTTGTGGGGCGCTCTGTTGTTTTTACAACACACAAATTCCAATAAAGTCGTAGCAAACTATTTTTTTTTTCCTTAGCACTACAGCGCCAGTGGGCCTAGGCCTACCTCCATGAACTTCTCCGAGCAAACCAATCACAGATATTTTAATGTACTGGAACAGCCGCTGTAGTTGTAAAAACTTTAGATTTTATACCCAATTGTATATTATTATTATTATATACGAGTATATACATATACACACACACACACACACACGAGGAGCGTTCCGTATATAATGCATCCTATTTTTTTTAATGAAAACTACAACAGATAAGAAAGCATAATAACGCAGTTAAATAGAGCAAAATTTCAGCTACTTGCAGTTATTTTTCCACATAATCACCACCATTCGTTATGCACTTTTGCCAGCGATGAACAAGAGCCTGTATGCCGCGTCCTTAAAAGTCTGCGCCAGCAGAGGCTAGGCACTTTCATACAGCTGCAATGACAGCATCGTCTGGAAAATGTTGCCCACGTAGTCCATTCTTTCATAGGCCCAAAGAGAAGGAAGTCTGAAGGTGCTAAATTGGGGCTATAAGGTGGATGTGGTAGGACAGTCCAGCAAAACTTTGCAATGTGCGCGCTGGTCGCCAAACTAGTATGGGGTCTAGCGTTATCGTGTTGCAAGCGAAAGGTTGTCTGCTTCTCTGGCCTGACTCGGGAAATACAGGCTTTCAGCTTAGTCAGAGTCATCTTGTAGCGTTCAGAATTGACAGTCTCACCAGGCTCCAGGAAATCCAACAAAATCACACCCCGCCTATCCCAAAAGACCGTGCACATCACTTTCCTTGCCGATGGCTGTGTCTGGAACTTCTTTTTTTTCTGGGGAATCCGGATGTCGCCACTCCATGGACTGTCTTTTGGATTCCGGCTCATAGTGGTGACACCACGTCTCATCTCCGGTGATGATGATGTCCAGAAACTTGTCACCTTCAGCCTCAAACTGGTGCAGCAGGTCCTGACAGACTTCCATTCGATGAGTTTTGTGGTCCTGTGAAGCATCCGCGTGACCTACCTGGAACAAACTTTGCGATAATCCAGCTTCCCCAACATTGTTTCCAATGCATTACAGCCGATATTAAGCCGTGCACACAGTTCCCTGGTCGTTATCCGCCGATCTGTACGGATAAGTTGATCGAGACGCTGTTCATTGTGAGGAGTGGCAGCTGAGCAGGGACGCCCAGGGCGTGGCCTCGGCACTAGCTGGAGGTGAGTGTTGAGCTTCGCGCTGCCGTCGCTTTACCTCCGGGGAAAGGAGTCCCCGTACCCATTGGGTAGGAGGTTTGGTGAACCCCAGAGCCGGTCTGTACGACGTGGAGAAGGGACAATTCTTGACCCTACCAGTCCTCGAACTCCGACACCAGCCAACCCACAGTATTGCATTATTTATGTTGATTTTAAACATAAATGAAATTATTATATTTGTGTGATTAAAAGTCTTTTATTACACGAAATGTGTGTATGTTGCGTATATTTCTGTATTACATTAGACGCATGGGGGTGCAGAAAATTGTGCTTACAAATGTATTTTTTTTTGTGACTGAATAAGGGCTGCGATGTTGGGGATAAACATGGATAAGCAGTACAAAAGAAAGCATACGAAATATTCGTTGAAGGCATTAATGAGAGAGACTCTTGAGTGAGTAGCGTAAAAGAGAAGGCAATATTAAAATGTACCATGAATAAATACGCTCCGGAGATGTGAGATTGATTTGCCTGGCTCGGGATAACATCCTGTGGCGTGAATATTTATGACTGGTTGGCTTGACTTTGGATGCGGTCTAAGCATCACGGTTTTATAGCTACTGTTGCTTTTTCTTGTCGAATTTCGGTTCCGAAGTAGGATTGCATGATCGAGGTTTTCGTGGCTTTTCTCGTTTCTTCCTTGGAAACAACGGCATCTTAACATAACAGAAAACCGCATACTAGGACAGCGTCTTAATCCTGATATTGAGGTCGATATTCATAAGAGTTGCCATATTTCTCATTCGACCCGTAGGGCTATAACGCGTGTAGCCTGCTACTGTTCGTGCCTCGTACTTAAATAAACATGGCCTCAAACGAGCAGCAAGGAATTTTCAGAAGGTCTCTTATCCAGGGAGTTGGTTTGCATATTTTTTGTGGGAACATTTGCTTTTTTATTATTTCATGATTGGTAAATTAGAAACGCTTTTGACGGTTTAATTAAGCCGTTAAATAATACGGCAATCGCAATTGGCTCATAACCTAAAGCCATTTGTATACATGTTCAAGCTCTATAAGAGCTCTTTTTTCAGTATCCGACAAAGGATGCAGGAAAAGGACACAAAGGGAGGCATATACACTAACATACAGGGCGTGTCCGTGAGGAGCCGGTGTTAGGCGCACTGGTAACATGGAGGACTTACAGCGAGACTGTGTT